TGTGCCATTGAATGTTGAAAGTGTTTAACTTTGTTTTCATTTGTACAGGGGCTCACAGCTAAGAGTTTACATAGATCTTGGAGGAGACTTGGGACTTGAACATTTTAGCAATGCTTAAACTGTTAGGACTTCGGCAACTTTTGGAGATGAACTAAATGTCTTTTGCATAAAGGATGTGCATGAGTCTTTGGGGGATCAGTGGTAAAATGTTATGGTTTGTGTTTCAATGTTCCCCCAAAGCCTCATAAGATTATGGGGAGTGGGTCTTTCAAAGGTGACTGAGTCTAGTGGTTGTGATTGGTTTGTTGTCTAGTTCTGGAATTGGAGGCGTGAGTGCTGCACTTGCCCCATGGTGGAGAGCCAGCGTACAATACAAGGGAGAGAAGGAGGTGTGTTTTTCCCTTTTGCTCTGTTTTGCTCTTGTTGCCTTTGGTACCCACTGCTACCATGAACCACTGTGTGGGGGCCACACCACCCTGCCTTGGAGCCAGCTGAGCATGGACTAAAACCTCCCAAAACTGTAAGATAAATAAACCTCTCCTTCCTTCATTTTGGATTTCAAGTATTTTATCTCAGAAACAAGAGAAAACTAAGACAGATATTATTGTCATTTTAACAATATCAAGTCTTTTATCAATGAGTATTCAGTATTTCTTATTTATTCATGTCTTCTTTAATCTCTTTCAACTGAGTTGAAAGTGGTGGCACAGAGCTGTAATACCAACACTGTTGTGGGCTGCGGCAGGAGGATCCCAAATTTGAGCCCAGACTGGGTAATCTAGCAAAATGCTGCTTCATAATAAGGAAAGATTAAGAATATGAATAAAACTAAGTGGCTGGGCAATAGATAACCAGTTTTCTCAGTACCTTGTTGAATAGGCTGTCTTTCCTCCAACACATACCTTTGACCCCTTTGTTAAAGATCAGATAGTTGAATATGTCTGATGAGGTATCCGTATCTTCTGTCCTATTCCATTGATCTATATGTATGTTTTTGTTCCATGCCATATTTATGACTTTTGTTTTGTGGTGTAGCTTGAATCAGACATTGCTATGCCACCTGCTTTGCTCATATTGTTCAGAATTATTTTTGTTATTGTGGGTCTTTTCTGGTTCTATATCATAAGAGTTTAGTATTGCTCTCTCTCTCTCTCTATATATATATATATATATACATATATATATATATATATATATATAAATTTTTTTCTCACTGGCCTTCAACTCACTATGTAGGTAGTTCAGGCTGTTCTTGAACTCATGATAATTTCTTCTCTCAGGGTCCTGACTGCTGGGATTACAGGATTGTAGCACCTCACACAGCTTGCTGTTGGTATTTTGATTGGAACTTCATTGAATCTGTACAATAGTTTTGAGTGTGTGACCATTTGACAATATTGGATCTGCCTATCCAGAAGCAGGGGACATTTTTCCATTTTCTTATATACTCTTCAGTCTCTTTCTGTTATTCTTGATTAGATTAATTCCTAGATATTTCATTTTTCTTGAAGCTACTGTGAATGTTTTTGTTTTCATAGATAATATCCTTCTCATCCCGTTTTTTGTTGGTACACAGAAATGGTAAATTTTTCTGTGTTGATCTTGTATCCTGCTATTTGCTTAAGTTGTTGATGACTTTAACATTGTGACCATTATATAAATGCAAATTAAAACAACCTTCAATTTCCATCTTATTCCAGAAAGAATGACAGTCATTAAGAAACCAAACAATAACAAATGCTGGCATGGTTGTTGTGAAAAGGGAGCCCTCCTTCATTGTTGGTAGGAACATAAATTAGTACAACCATTATGGAAATCAGTAGGAATTGATAGGAAATTTCTCAAAGAACTGAAATGAGAAATTCCATATGACCTAGTCAACCCCCCTGCTAAGTATCTTCCCTAAAGAGCTTAAGTCATCATATTAGTGATATTTACATCTAATGTTATAGCAGCATAATTGATAACAGCTAAATTCTGAAACTAGGAAAGTGGTTAACTGGGTAAATAAAATGTGGTATCTATCTACAATGGAATACTACTTGATGATAAGGATTGACAAATTTAAAATATTGTAGGAAAATTGATGCACTTGAAAAAATAATATTCAGTGAAATAAATCAGACATACAAGTTTAAGTAGGGTTTCATATCTCTCATCTGAGTGAGGCATAATACAATGAAAGAAAATTATAGAAGATTGATAGAAAGGGACAAAAGGATACATCTCTTGCAGTAGAGAAACCATACAAAGGACTAGGTCAAGGGACGAGGAGGAGGGAAGAGGAAATAAGAAACGATGGGTCATGTACATGAACCTAATAAGCCCAACGAATGTAAACACTATAGGCCATAACATGTGTGAAGACAAACAATATCAACTAGTATGAAAAAGGGGATGGCAACCAATGGGGGTAGGGGAGGTACAGGGAAGCAATTTTCAGATTAGAAGTTTACTTTTCTGCCCCTGAAAAGTATAGTTTAAGAGATGTATTCTTTATTTTTAAAAAAGATTTTATATTTTTTACTTCATATCTTTAAAACTTGTTTGTTATACATGGTAATGCTTTCCTCTGTTGTCATATCAAAGATTTTGTCTTATTGAGAAGCAAACCTGCTTTTTCTATTTTATGGAAAAAAGATAAAATAATAAGAGAATAACAATAATTAATGCATTGCATTGTTAATACATAGTTAATACATCGTTATCTTTAAAGTAGTTGCTCAGGGAAGCAATCTGCTTTTTAATTCAAATACAGTTTTCTTCAAAACCTACTATCCTGTTGCCTAATAATCTATAAAATAAGACTTATATTTTATTACCTAAGCAACTTACATCTCTAATGAGTATAGATATACATTTGTGTTGTAAGCTCTTTCATATGTATACAGAATTGCTAAATTTTTGCTAGCATTGTACTCGTACATGTTTCAGTGGGGAAAAGTCACCTTAGATTACATGAAGTGTATTACATGCTTTGAAACTGAAACCTAACAGTTTAATGATATTCAAAACGTGATTAGCCATTTACATGAAATAGACTAGTACCTATGGCATAAAATTAAATAGGATATTAATCATTGTGCTTTAGGGCATGAATTAGACAATAACCAAGGTCAGGAGAAGATAAAATGTAGTTATTGTTAAGCAGTATGAGATTCATTATCAGAATACCTGCCCCATTTATAAGGAATACTTCACCGAGTAGTGTCAGACTAGGTAACATGGACCTGACAAAGTGCTATAGTTAGGAACCTCTCGCTTTATTGTTGCAGTGTATATGTACTATAGCTCTTTTTCTTCTTTAACATTTCCAAAGTTTGCCACTTCTGCATTGAAATCCATCTGAATTCAACTCTTCTGAGGAAAAATGCCCTTTCCCTAGTTCCTTCCCCCTCACTCCCTGTCTTTTGTGCAACGCATCCATTATATTTCTCAAAGGCACAGTGGAAATGTACAATTCAGGTTGGTGATGCCTCAGCTCATAACCAACAGACTTTTTCAAAAAATGATCTTGGAAAATTTGTACTCTTAAAATGTAGTTGAATGACTCAGATCTGCTTTCTGGGTTTCCTATTGTTTTTTATCTGCTATTCATACACATTATCTTGCCAAATTGGTCAACTTTATCCCCATTTTGCTAAGGAGAAAATTGAAATGGAATCATTATTTGATCTCTATAATTTCCTTCCAAGATCCACAGAATAAAAACATATTTGTAACAGTGAATCTATATAAAATAATTTTGAGAAGTCTTAACAGTTAATGATAATGAAATAGTATATGAAATATATATTACTGTATCATTTGCAGGACAAAATGCATGTATTTGTATGCTCATATAATTATTTCTAGTTGATTTCAATTGTATTTTAATTTTTCCTTAGAAATATATAGCATTTATTGCACATACAGTAATGGTTTCTAATCCTAGACAATAATTTTGGTTTTACTATATATTTTTCTTATTTATTTCCAGTATAATTTTATAAGTGTCAAAAATTCTCACTTTGAATTGGAGTTTTACAAAACAGAAAAGTGAAATTAGGTTCTTCATAATAATCTTGTCACAGCTATGTTGGATTGTGTGTATTGTTCCTAGTTGTTGAGGACAGAAAAACAATTACTTCTTATTTAGCCTTTGAATAACTTCCCAGAAATTGAATAAAGATATATAAAATGGAAATTTTTAAAATTTCAAATTTTACATTTTAAATGCAGCTTGGTGAAACATAGTGTGTATTAACTTGAAATTTGAACATTATTTAAACAGTTTTTCTTGGGAGAGTAAATCAATAAACATATTTTGAATAATCGGTGCAATTTTGAGTTGTGTACAAAATACCTTAGCTTTTCTGAAAAATTATTTTCAAGAAGGACCTCAAGAATTTCAGTGTTGCTACAATTGGATATATCTTCTATTTACTAGAGATAAAATAGTTTTAGAGCACTTTTGGTTACCAGCTGGAACATTTATGATAATCTAGAATACTAAATATGCAATGAAGAAAAAGTGTGCCTTCCAGGAAGGGGAGTTTCTCAATAGTACAAAATGCTTCTGACTGTGTTACTGATAGCATTAAGGCTTCCAGGTGTTTGACCATTATATTTAATTTCTGGTATGCAAGGAACTTATTCAGCTTTACTAAGAATTGCATTGGTTTTGTCTGAAAGAATATTATTAATTGTATTCATTTGTAACTGTGTCATATGCTGGTTCAAGCTCCCATAATTTTGTAAACATTAATCAGAATTTTCCTTCATGCATAAATTGACTTTCCTTTTATTTAAATACAAATAATTTTTCAAAGAATATCTTATTCACAAGCATTCCATAGTGTAATTAAAAATAAACAATTTATACTCATCTCTTGTTTAAAATTAAAATGCTATATATTATCGCTATTATACTGACAAAATGATAAATGTAATGCATACCAGTGAAGATACTCATGTGCTCAGAAAGTTTAACTGATCTTTTCTTCCTTTTTCTTCTCAAGTTATCAGGAAGTATTTTGGATGTATATGGTGGTGAGCAGGAAATTTCACCAGTTAATATGGGGCTTTCAAGTGCTTCCTGCCCAATCAGTCTATCAGTGAAAAAAGAAATTACAGGTAATGTTGCTTTTATTTTTTTGCCTTTTAAAATTTTTATTAAGTACCTAAGAAATGAGTGATTGATAAATATGGTAAATAGAATGTTTTAAAAATATTATCAACATAAGGGGAGACTTTAAATCCATCTGGTTTTTTATGACAACTAGATGGATAATATAACTTACAGTTTGACCATGCATTGTTTTAAGAACTACACATACAATTTTCATAGAGAAACATAAATAATCTTCACTTAGATAAGTTCATTTTCCTATCAAACAGATATTAATGATAATTAGGAAATGATAATTAGCAAAATGATAATTAGGAAAATTATTCTTTATAGGATTAGATAGAAAAGTTTATATTTTCCTTTTAAAATTATTTTATTGATTTCATGATAGACTTGGATTTTTCAATTGAGAAAAGTAAACTCACTTTTCAATGAATCATCTCAAAATTACTTCAAATCAAAGGAATTATAGAAATTTTGTCAAATTCTTCAGTAGTTTAAAGAATTGTTTTGCTGAAGTCACACAGCTAATTAGTAAAAAATGGATTAATGATTTTCTTATTTGCTAGTTTAGTGCCAGATCTTTTATAAGAATAAAATAAAATCATTTGAAATTTTTATAACAAGTTTTTGGCTCACAGCTGAAAAACTACAAAGTAATAGTAACATTGTAAGGAAATACAAGTATGCCATTCATGAAACTTAATAACTAAAAATGCATATGTGTGGGAAGTATAGTCTTTAGGTTAAAACTAATGACTATAGTTTTGTTTTGTTTTGTTTTGTTTTGTTTTGTTTTGTTTTTTGTCTTTTCTCTTGGTACCAGGGATCGAACTCACAACTGCCTGCTTGCAAGCAGGTGCTTATGCCGCTGAGCTAAATCCCCAGCCCCCTAGTGACTATAGTTTTAAATAAATATATTTAAATACAGTGTATTACTTTATTACTTATTATTAAAACTAAAAATTCTAAGAACTTTGTAGTAAATACCTTTTGTATACAATCATAAGTTAACTACAAAACATTAGCCTGAAAGAAATATTTATGCTGTCTTCATTCTCTGTTGGGAACCTAGAGGGGTGTCAGCAAATTTGTTCTGATATTGAGTTTCTTACAGGGTTTTGTCCAGATGTCAGGCAGATATGCACAATGATACTTCACAGGTGGTTAGAGACCATACTCCCAAGGTGGTTCCTTCACAGTTCTTGCAAATTAGTGCTGCTTGTTGACAAGTGGTCTTGGTTCTTAACTGTGAGGACCTTTCCTTTGTGTTGCTTGTGTGTCCTCAAGATTTGAAAACTGTTGAATAAAATGCTACCAAAGTGGAAGCTGAAAATATCTACTGTGATTTCTCCTTGGAAGCCACAGGAGTCATTTCCACAGTGATACCTTCATTTCGTAGGTCAGCCTCATTCCCTGTTGGCGAGAACTATCAAGGGTATGAACACCAAGGAACGGGAGTTCTGGGCCATCTTGACAGCTGATGAGCACAAATTCAATCACTTATCATGAGAGCAGTGTCAGTAAGTGGAAGCGAGTGTAGAATTATTTGATAGGAATATCTATGAAATGTAGTTAGTTCCAACCCATGGGATGTAGAAATCATAATTATTTATGAAGATTTTAGGTCAGAATAATTTCTTTCTGAATCTCAAAAGTCTGAAAATAATAATGGCAATGACTGAATAATTTAATACTTTCTGTGTGTCATGCCTCTTTTATAATCATCACAGTGACAATCAGGTAGGTATTTTGTATTCATTTTACAGATGAAAAGTCTGAGACACAGAGAAATTTGGTAATTGATTACAGCTTTTACATAAATAGCCAGAAAACAAATCCATTTTTTTGTATCCCAGAGTCTAAAGGCTTTGCCATTGTCTTTCACTAAACAGCACCCTGTTCCAAATTTCCAAATGTTTGCATAAAACTATTATTATACTACTTTGGAGTAAGCAGTCTTGCATTTTTATGTAGCATTTCTGAGTCATTTTGCCTGGAAATTTTTGTAGAGTAGAACTAAGCACTGTTTCAATTGTTTTTCTTATGTTCAGAAACTGACACTAGAGCATTGGCCAAAGAGAGACAAAAAAAGGACAATCACAACCTCAGTGAGTATATCTTTCTGTTTTCCCACATGAAACTAATACAACAGTGAATGCTTAGAGATGAAATTTTATGGTCTTTTATTATCACTCCATAAGTACTTACAGATGACCGAAATTGTTAGTGCTTACAAATAAGCCATTTTGGAAAATGCATCCCATGTGAACTGTCAAAAAACAAAAACAGTTACACATCTTTCACAAAGTGAAACATCTCTCCTTGATCATTCATTCTCCAGGAGTCTATTTTTGATTGAGACCAGTGCATTTGGTTACATTTGAATGTTGTGATTCACTGATTCAAAGATTTAAAGAGATAAAAGTGACTTTGGAAATCATTTTAATAGTATGCCATTTTAATAGTTAGAAGTCTAGGCTCTCATTTTTTTTCTGTCAATTTACTCTTCCCTTCCTAATATCTTATCTGAAGAGCATTTCTCATGTTGTAATGCTGAATTCCATCTCTGGGGAAAAAGGCTTTTCATGCTTTCCTCAGGGTCAATTTAACTCTGATAACAGGTCACTTGAGATGGGAAATGTGAAGAAGCAGATTAGCAGCAGGGCTGGGTTTTCGAGGGCTTGGTCATGTCTTAAGTGTGCGACTATCTCAAGAGAGCTTGACTGATTGAGAATGAAGGGTCTTTGTTCTGAAATCCAATCCAAAAAGTGAGGGAAGAGTAAAACAGAAAAATAAATAAAATGTTAACCTCTGAAAAAATCAGTAATTTCCTTACATGCAAGTAGCAGAAATTGATTCTGAATGTACCTGTGAATCCCACCTCTTTACAAAAGGCACTTCACTCAGTGATGAGTGTTAGCTGACTGAGTGTGCAGAAACAGCTGACACACAGCTTTCTCACAAGCCTCTAGGAAATGATCTGACTTCCCGTAGACTTGAATAGCAGAGCAGGAAACTTTGATCTGGATTTTGAACAGGACAAATAAAGAGAGCCAATGGTTGGTAGTGTATCTTGAGGAACTATGGCGTCCTTTCTTTGTAAATCTGTTAATTATTACTGTCTTTCCCCTTCTCTCTGTTTGTAGCTTAGACAATAAGTCATTTATTGCAGAGTATTGTAGGTGTCTGGCACGTAACTTAACTGAAGTGTTTTCTAATCTGAATCCTCTTGCTAAGTTATCTTCCCTTTGAGGAAAATCAACCTCAAGGGGTATCATAAGTGTTAAATATCATGAATTTAAATAATCTTTGAAAACATAAATCTTGTGGGAGCATGCCAAAGTACCAAGAAGGTCCCACTTATCAGATAAAGATGTAAGGGGTATAAATCAAATAAAAAGCGCAAATTAAATATGATCCATCCTGCCTGGAGACTTTAGAAGGTCAGTAGTGAATCTAGAATCCTCAGGTTGCCAGCATTTGGAGTGGCAACGTCAGGGCAGGGCAATGCCAGCTCTCAGCTGACAGCTTACTCTCCTTTCCTCCTCAGTCTCTGTGCTGCAAGTGCCTGCACACTTCACCTCCATACACATTTCTATAAAGAGCTGCCCTTGGGTCACTTCCTGACCAATGGGTGAGCACACTGGTGCCCTGGTTCTCCCTCAAGGCGTGGCTTGCTCCCTTGAGGAGTGGCTTGCTCTGGAAGTGGGCCCAAGGAATCCGGAGAGAACTTCCTGTGCCCATTGCCGGAGTGTAGTTTAGAAGGTATTTCCTTGGGCCTGTGGCTGCCTTGCTCAGGCGGAAGAGGTCTGGCTGGAGAGAAGACTGGTTCCAGTAAGTGTGGGTGGGAGTAGGGGCCTCTTTTGCCTGGATCCAGGGGCAAGATTGAGTGAGGGTGTCAAAAACTTCGTGAAGAGTGAAATCACAAAGGGCAAAATTATTTAGCAATTTCTTAAAACATGATTTACAAATAACTTGCGCTAGACATGACCAACATTGATCAAACCAAAATTAGAATAAGTCAGTTGGAAATAGATGATGACCTAAGTGGACAGCAAGCCTCTGATGTTATCTATCAGGTAAATTTAAGTGCATTTTGAAGAGACCCTATAGCAGTGAAATTAGTGTTCCACTTTGCAATAAAACTGCAAACTTCATAGCTGTTTGCTAAGATTTCAGAAGTGTGGTTTGTAATATAAGATCATGTATGTGAACATAGAATTATTAAAAATTTTCCACTATAAAATATCTATGTGTGTTTATCAGATTTTTTATTTCTTAGTATTTTTATGTGGTATAATTTAGATTTTTATTAATTAAATGCTGTAGGAAAACAAATTAGTGAAGAAACAAAATATATTCTCTCAAAGAATCGCTTGTATTTTAATTTTAGAGGAATCCCCGTGTATTATTCCAGAAGGCCAAATGCATTCATGATAATTTACTTTGTAGAACAGGTTCACCAAGACAATTTATATTCTTTTATAACTTTTACAGTTTTCATTAGCAGATCTTAATTCTCAAGGGTGTGCTATACAAATGTTTTAGCATATATTTAAACTATGTTTTATATTTTTCATGAACTTTTTGTACCTTTATCTCCTGGAAAGTTTTAAATATATTAATTATTGCAAAATGTCATATGTAAGTATGTTATGATTCTTGACATTACAAATATAGAGTAGATGATTGCTCTTAGAGTCCATATAGGAAACTCTTTAGACATCTGACATTCACTGAATATTTACTACATATGTGAAATTGCTATGGTAATAAATGTATCAGTGCACAGCAAAAACAGTCTCTACATAAGAAACTTTATCAATACTTCTTAAATCATGAATCTTCCACATACAGCATCAGCATCACCTTGGAGTTTGTCAGAAAGATATACTAAAATCAGAACCTCTAGATATGGGATACAGATCTGTTTAGCAATCTTTCTCTGTGTGCCTAATACATGCCAAAGTTTAAAAACTTCCAATCTATAGATTATTGAAAAGTTTAAGTTAGAAAACTAAACTGATAGTCTAATCAATGTACATTTATTTAGTACCTCCTGCGTAGACCAAACTCTCTGGAGACACAAAAATGAGTTAGATGTGATTCTCCCTCTCAGAGCGATCAATTACAATTGGGTACAACTCCTGTAGTGTGTAAAACACTGAGGAGAATACATGAAAGAGTAAAGCATGGAGCATAATCTTAAAAGTTTACAGTTCTGGATGGATTGACAAAGAGTATGGGTATAAGATGACAAGCAGAATAAACATTATGTTTATGTATATGTATGTATCAGTATGAGTAAATGTAGCCATCAAAAGAATGGAAAAAGTTTTGAGACAAAGTATTTTTAAGTATTGTTAAGTTACATTGTCGTAATTTTAATTGTGTAATTTTTGTTTTTGGAGTAAGACTGTTATGATATGGATCTAACATATTCCCCAAAGGACTCGAGTTTTCAAAGATGTGGCTTTTCAATCATAAATACTTTAATTTCATCATTGATAAATTCATAATTTGGTGAAATTCTTGGGAAGTGGTAGAGACTTAGGAGAAGAGGCCAGTTGAAAGGAGTGAGCCATGGCACCATGAGCTCGGGGATTGTACTTTCTACAGCTTGTGCCAGGACTGTTCCTTTCTGTCACTCTGTCTCTGTCTTTCTCTTTCTCTCTCCCTCCTTCCCTGCCTTCCTACCATGTGACGAGCAGCTTTCTTTCTCCATGCCCTTCAAAATGATGTTTCTACCTTGCCAAGGGCTGAAAAGCAATAAAGCTAGCTAGCCATGGATTGAAACCTCTAAAACCTTAAGCCTAAATAAACATTTCCTCCTTTAAGTTGATTTTCTCAGTTATTTCACCAGCATTGCAAAGCCAACCAACAGAGACATACTTTTTATTGTTATTTTATTACTGAGAAATTCTTTCTTTTTACTAAATGGAAATATTTTTGTGTAGTGTTTTAAAAGACTATTAAAAAAGTTTATAGCTGACAAAAACTGAAATGAAATTAATGAGGATAATCAATAATATTTCTTCTTTAATAGTTGAAAGAAGAAGAAGGTATAATATTAATTACCGAATCAAGGAGCTTGGCACTCTTATTCCAAAGTCTAATGATCCGTGAGTTCAAAATTATTTCTGTAATAATGTTATGGTTTCAATACCCCCAAAAAATGAGTGGGAGGGAAGAGGGGAGTACAGAATCAATGACTAGAAACCTGCGCAGCTCATGACCAAGATAAAGCAATCATTGATCTCATTTAAAATATCTGTTCCAGGTTGGTATTAACCATCAAGGCTCTTCTGAGAGTTGCTTTTCTGAATACAGAAAATAAGCAATGATTTCTCTTCAGTTCACAATGGGTTTATTTTACAGTAATGATACAGGCAAATTTAGTGATAGTGCCAAAAACGATTTATTATGTTCACTAGGATCCTTAAATTATGATTATGACATTTCTTGCAATTTAAGATGATGAAAACTCAAAAGTAGAGCTGTCAGATTTTCAGAGGTCCCCAATTTCTGGATAATTACATACAAGTATTAAATCAATTGTAAACTGATATCAACCATGTTTTTGTGGCAAATACACAGAGTCAAACATGTTGGGGTTGTAAATCTCTAGAACTGGTTAATCAAAGTGTCAATTTAGAATGTTAAATGTTAATACCAAAACATAAAAATATAGTTTGTGGCATTATTAATGATTTCAAAATGATCTCTCCAAATTTTGGCAATGATCCATTATCCAGAGATGATGATACTTGATAAGAGTTGAGTATACTTTTTCCCTAAAGCCAGATTTACTGATTAACTTAGACAATTAAATAATATGTGACAGAAAGGAGTGTCATAGCCTCATGGCTGTGCCAGACATAAGAGCACCTAGTATAGAATGGTAGAAGAAGGATGGAAAATCTGAAGAGCTCACTCCTGGTGTGAACTCTTTCAATCATCATTTAAATCTTTTAAAGTATATAACCACAGGGCTTTTTATTAGTGGAACATAATACAAATCTTCCCTATAAAAATAGACTTTTAGAAATATAAAATCCATAATGTTTATAAAAATATGAATTACAAGGATTTAATGAGGGATTATATTACTGTATATTTTGATAGAACTTTTGATTGTCTAAATATTCCTTTCTAGTTTAAGTCATTATCCAGTACAGGGAATGACAAACTTTTCCTGAAAAGAGCCAGAGTGCAACTCTATCAGGCTTCACAACCCATACATTCTCTGTCATAGTTATTTAATTGCATCATTCTACCCCAAAAGTAGACACAGACAATATATCATGAAAAGCATGACTCTATCCAGTGAAACTTTATTGACAAAAATAGACTGTAGGCTACAGATTTTATACTCTGATCTAGAATATGGAAAATCAATTTACCACAGAATCGTATCTGAACAAGCATTATCAGAGAAACTTTGCTGTACATACTGTTTTTTTCTTCTGTATGGATCTCAGAAAGGAATGTTATTATTTGTTGGAACTTACTGTGTTATTTATAGGCAAGTCACATTTATTAATATCTAATTGGAAACATTAATTAGATGCTAAGCACAACTATACGTACATCAATTTGCATAATACACATAGAGAAAATTACTAAAGTGTGACATTCTTGAAGTCTAAATGCCAATTACACTTTGATATATTTTATATCTTGGCGTGTGGTCTCACCCACTTCTCCAGGGTTCAACAATGAGAGTTCCACCCTGGAGCCTAGAATTAGCATTTTAAAAGAGTTTAATTTAGGAAGTAGAGTCTAGATGCATTGACCTAACATTTAAATAGCTATTGTATAGCATTGTTTTGCATTCATTTGTCAAATTCTTAGATGCTACCATGGATAACTTAAAAGTTTCAGAAAGCAATACTAAGAAAAGTGTGTGGGAATAGGGATAATTATAGAAAAGGCAAGTTTTAGTTTGAAGGTGGATAAAACGAAAACATGGCATCCCTGTATTACGCCATGGTGAAACTATTGAAAACTGGATCTGACAATTAAGAAAGATCAAGCAAGATTTCAGTTGGACTTTTAAGAAATTTTAGATTAATAAGTTGAACGACTTTCACAACCATTAAAATGACTGAAGGTAGTTCTTTAAAAAATAATAAAATACACATCAGTTTATAAAATCATCTATTATGAAGTTTTTTAAATTATGTGTCATGACTACTAATGGATCATGCAACTAACCAAATAGAACAGATTCAATGTTTTTAAATAACAATAGATAGAATTGAAAATATCAGAGGATTATATATTCCACACAGGAGAATATTAATATCTCGTGAAAACTTTGTTGCAGTTTTAGGAGCTAAGAATGCACAGAATTAGAATATAAAAAATGCTTCTTATAACAGATGCATTTGAACAGGGAAGAAAGCCACAGGTTTGCAGAAAGAGTACTGAACTAAGGAAGGAAACTCAGAGCTTATCTTCTGAACACCATATGAACAGACTTTAGGGTAAGATATCACAGCTAATAGCTGAATACACTGAATTCAGTGAAGCTGACATTTGTTTTTTTCAAAGATATTCAGAAATCTATACATCTTTACCATTCAGTATAGAGGAGTTAGAAGGAAAAATAAAGAGAAAAGTTAGATTGAGCTAGTTATATTTTAGACATTTGTTTAAACATTTTTACATTTAAAAGATAATGTGTTTGAATGAACGCATATGGTAAAGATGACAATAAATCATGCATTTTCCACAGGTTCACCTGTTAGCACTCTGACTGCAATTTAAACATTGCTGTTATGTGATTTGGGCCTAAATTCACTTACACTTATAACTGATCCCTCTTTCAAAGAAAATTATTGTGCAGAGAATGAAAGGCTAGTATCCACATTCTTTCCTTAACCATGCCTTTACGAGCTTTCAGTTTTTTTAGAGGTGCATCGTATTATTTTTTAACATTGTTAATATAATGTCCTTGAAATTATGTTGGGAGAGATGGAAAATCTGATTAGTATGTGAGAAAAACTCTAAAATATTTCAAGAAGAAAATCTCCAGATAAAGTGAACTTTTGAAAACTTAGTACTAATGACATCAGGAAAGAAGGAAGAGACTGGTTTCTGTAACTACCATGAAGGCCTGTTTTAGATCTAAGTAAGCAATGCTCTAAACTCATACGTTGGCTGAGTTTATCCTTTTCATCTCAGTCCTCCTACTTCAGGTTTTTCTTCCCAGGAGGAAAAAATGAAAGTTAGGAGTCCGTAAGTTTCCTGGTACTGCTTAATCTTAGTTCACAAAGCCACTACATTTGTGTTGTAGATATTTTCTTGGCTCAGTGATAAAAGTAACGTGTCTTTCACACCCATCACAACATGAGATGCATCCTGGGAAGCAAAATGAACCCAATAGCCATTGTAGACCCAGAAAATTGATAAAGCATTTTCAAACTTAAACAAAATGCCAATAATGACAGTCTGCATTTTTGCGGAAAACAACTTTCCCAGGACCTAATGAACATTTTTCTTGGGATGTAGGAAAATGGACATTTTAATGGACATTTAATTTTAATTTGGTACTGTTACTGATATTATCGGCTGACCTGAACTGCCAATGAGACATTCAAAACAGATATCTCATAAACTGTTTTTTCTTACTTGTAACTCTTAACAAATGCATATGATCTTCAATACATTCCCTATAGATCACATAAGCAAAAAATATAAAAAATGCATTTTACATATGTCATTGTAGACCAAAATGATAAATTGGAAAATATATAATTCCCCTACATGCTTACTCTATGCAGTATTTAACACATCTACTGTAATTTAAAATTTCAGCAAGTTTATTTAGCTATTTCACTAATATGTTCTTTTTAGTTTGGTCTTATTTTCAACACAGATTGTAAATTCTCATACAATACATTTTTATTGTATATTTTTAGATATTAGATTCAGTAGCGTGTTCCATAATTTTATCTCTATAATATCTTCTGTTTTTAAATGGTGTAGTAAAATACTTTCTATGCTGTAGCCTAAAAAGATTATTCAATTATGTTTTAATTATAGTTACCTATGTTAAACTTATTATATATTTTTCTATATATATCCAGCTTTTAAAAAAATATTGGTGTTATTTGTATAGAAAAATTGGTCAAATGATTTTAGAAAGTTTATTTTGTAGCATAAAGTGATGCTACCAAATTGTGATATGTTTTGCAATTATTCAGGATCACCGTTCAGGAGAGGATTTATTTTTTTTCTTAGTAACAAAGCAACTTTATTAGGAAATAGGTTAAAGGATTGATGCATTTGAAATAATATTTAAAAATTTAGGCTTAAGTCATCAGTAATGTACATTTCCTAGTTCATTAATGCAGAAATACGGCACATAGATTTTAATCTTGGAGTTAATAATAAAAGCAATTTTCACTAAAAATATAAAAACTGTAATGGTAGAATCATGATATTGCATTTAGCTCTCCCACAAAAAGTCACTTTATTACTTCCTTTTGACACTTATTTTCATTCTGGGATTAATTTTACTATATAAGGGCTTCTTAACTATTCTATTAAAATTTCTATTCAGAAGAAATAATATCTAAGAGTGAATAATAGTCATGTAAATCATTATTTCATATTAATGTAAAAGATTTTGTAAGTTCTTATGAATTCTGCTGACATGCACAATTGTGAAGAGGTTATCTCTCCGTTCTACAGTGATACGCGCTGGAACAAAGGAACCATTCTGAAAGCATCCGTGGAGTACATCAAGTGGCTACAAAAAGAACAACAGCGAGCCAGGGAGTTAGAACACAGGCAGAAGACATTAGAGCAGGCTAACAGGCGACTTCTCCTCCGGATTCAGGTTTTTATAAGACTGTTGCCCACTGACCGGGTAGCTAACATACGACTTACATGACATTAATTTTATTCATGGGTACAATTTTTTCGCCATGCTAACGATTAATTTTTCCACTGAAAGATAGTTCTGCTGCCTTTTAAAAGTTCACTAGTTGGATTGTTTCAATTAGGTTTTGATTAGAAATTAAGGATCAGGAGGACTTAAAATACACGTATAATGAATGACAAGAACTAGACATAAGGTACAGAAATAGAGCTTGTTACATGAATACACATGATATTATCTTGCTCCCCAAAACCCTAGTATTAAATAGAATATTTTTTCTCTAAATAATATCGAACATTAAATTCTCTATTCTCTCTTGCCTCTTTCATTTGTTTAGTACTGTTGCTATGGATTTCATTGCTGAAGGCATATTGTATCAGTTTATATTAATTCACTGTTCATCTATTCAAATAACACAAAATATCAAAGTATGGGCTTTTATTGCTCTCCTTTTTTAATGTGAGCATGCTCATAGCCAGGTAAAGCATTTTCTCTGTTTCCATGAAATGGTTCAGAATTATGGTGAGAAATTATCAAGAAGAATAAATGGAAGACTTTCCACTATTTTGCAATGACTGTATTGTAGTCTGAGCCATTATGGGACACTAATATATCGTGAATTCCTTTACAGAACAATAAGAAGAGAATTTTTAAAATTCTGGGTAATTTTCTCTGAGTAACTCTGAGCACCAGATTCCATTATCTGCAAGGAATACTTATAATTCATAGTACTCTTCACACTGAATGCTCTTAATATTTTGATTCTACTTCTGGTTTATTTTCTCAGGTTATGTTCATGTTCAAAGGCATTATTTAATGATTCTTGTTTGAAATTTCAGGAACTAGAAATACAGGCTCGTGCCCATGGTCTACCATCCCTGGCTTCCCTTGGCACGGTTGACTTAGGTGCCCACCTCACCAAACATCAGACTCCTGAGCAGAATTCTGTAGATTATTGCAGACAACTGACTCCATCTCAGGGGCCAAGCCCCAAGCTCTGTGATCAAGCTATGGCCTTCTCTGATCCTCTGTCACACTTCACAGATTTATCATTTAGCGCTGCTTTGAAAGAGGAGCAGAGACTGGATGGCATGCTGCTGAATGACACAGTGTCCCCTTTCGGAACAGATCCACTGCTATCTGCCGCTTCCCCTGCAGTTTCTAAATCCAGCAGTAGAAGAAGTAGCTTCAGCTCAGAAGATGGTGATGAACTGTAAGACGTAAAAGGCTCAGTTCGTCATCAAGAGGCAATGCAATGCTGGTGCTACTTAACTGCATTCTCTGTTTCATATATTGCTTTGGCTTAGTTTTCCTTACAAGACAATGTTGTCCACATAATCATTAGAAGCAAACGAAGAACACACAGGAAGAAGAAAAGTGGTACTGGGCAATTATTGAGGACTAGGTTTGATGTTTTCCTCTTTTTCTACAAAGTCCATGTCTACTTACATTTTTCCATAAAGATATAGAGCATATGAAATAGCTCCATATTGAGGTTTCTAATGAAGCAATTCACTAGTGAAACAGCCTGTAAGAGGAAGCTAAGTGAAATATACAATGCTTTTCTTAGTCATCAATGTTTGTATTCTGCTATTCACCTCCTAAAATGTGAGTTTTTTAAGAATCAAGATCGACAGATAAGGTGGTCATTGTTTTTTCTATTCATTGTTTGGTGGATGCATCCAAAATTCAAGTCTTATAGAGGAAATAATTAGAATTTAGATTATCTATCATAATCAAAATATGAATTTACCACAAACAGGATTTTTTTACAATTGAACACGGAAAATTTATAAGACATTGGTTACTAAAATTAGATTCTAATTCCTTTAGTCAGATTAGTTATACTAATTCTAATAGTATCTTTGCATATTTGTCTCTATATATTCTAGTCAGAATAATGAGCAAGAATAATTTCTTCCAGGACATAGTCTACATTTATCATTTCACAAAAACTATACTCAGACATAAGAACACAGTGTGGGCATTATTTATTACTCTATTTTTCATTATTCTGATTATCTAATCAGTATCAGGAATCATATTCTGCTGGGTAATCACTTTTAGCAAATAAAATATAAATGTTCTCCCACTAGGAAAAATTGTCTGGTATTTAATATTTATTGTCATATCCAATATTGGATACAGACTAATTGTTGATATGGTTTTGTTCCAAATTGACAAAAATGTTGAAAATGGATTGAAAACTGACAAAAATAATAAAACAGAAACTGTGTTTTATTCAGCCCTGAATGGAGGAAAAAGTTTTATTCCCTGAAGTGTTTAGAGTAACTTATAACCTCTGCTTGCTTAGTTGCTGTTTATTCCTGATACTTACATCTGTAATACTCAGACTTTTTGAGTTTGTTTTGATTGTGAGTTAAGTTACCAAGCATGTTGCCGTGTGCTGCACCTCAGTAGATGATCTTTTATCAGTCACTATTTATGAAGGGAACTTAGGACTGCAGTAGAGCTTTGAAAGTATTAAACAGATGAGAAAGATAGGATTTTACTTCTCAGCAGGGGTGTGCTTAACATAGATGAGAAACAACAAAAAAAGGGATAGAAAACATACAGAATTATGGTGTAAGCATAAGCCATAAAGTGGTGTAAGGGCAGTGAAAATGAAAATGAATGTCCCGAGTCTAGGAATAAAGCAGAATGTAGCCTGTCTTTTGAGGCATAAATTGGGTGAAAGAGAAGTAATACAGAAGAATAATATCAGCCAAATGATAAGTTAGGGAGGTACCTTCATGAGGCACTCAGGAGAATGATTTGATCACCCAACACACACTGCTTGCCAAAGAGTTCTGGAAAATAAAATTGGCAACAAGTTTTGGAGATCCTTGAAAATTAGTATGAAATGTTGTAAAAATGAAATATTTTGCTTACTAGATTTTTAAAGATTGCAGTGTTCCTAAATTGACTGAGATGTAATCTCTCAAAAATACTAAACTTTGGAATGAATTTTTTTAAAGAGAGTCTTGAGTTTTTCTCACATAGAAAATAATCTGACATTTGAATGGTGACATAAGTGGAGAAACCCTATAGTCTAATGATTATTTCATACTTATATTACCTTGTTTGCTCAGATTTTAGAGAATTAAAATAACTTAATAGTTTGCCAGAAAAAGTTTAACTTCTAAAACAATCATTGCATGTGGATAGACACATTCATATGAAATGTTCTATGTTAAAAAAAAAAGCAAATAGATACATTTTCTCAATAACTTTCAAGAGGACATTATAGACTTTTAACAAGATAACAAAATCCCACTAAATTGATAATTTTATTGAACTTTGCAAATTATGGAGAAAGGTGTATGTTTTGGGGCCCACAGAAAATGTACCATTCTACACTGAAGCTGTTTTCTATTCTTATTTTATTCATTATTCTTTTTTCTCTGTATGCCAAGAAGATTTGCACTGTTGATGCCATTACTCTGGCATGACTTTTAATTTTGTTCAAGGCTGCCATACAGACCTGGCACAGGATAGTACAGTCTGGACATAAGTTTTGAGAAAGGACTAATATTTGCTGCTTCCTTCAGATTATAAAATTCTAAGGAATTGTAAATTCGGTGGTAGATTTTTAAAACTAGAGTACTTCTGTGTTCTGGTCAACAGCAATATGTTAAAAATCAATAAGACAGCAGTTTTAACTTGTGATGGCATGATTTTATTGAGAATCCCCTGAAAACTGTAGGCACTTTCCATAAATTTTTTTGAAATGTAGATATGTACCAACAGGCTATAGTTTGCATGCATCTAAAGACTGTAGATATCTTCTGAATGTCTCTTTGGATCCCAGGTAAAAAATGCCTCCATCAGGTCTGAAACTTTCATAGGTAGAAAATTACCTATTTACCTATAAGATAGGTAGATAGTCCATTTGATGTCATGTATAAAAAGAAAAATGGTGCCTTATTTATCTGAATGGCTCTGATCCTGGTGGTGTTCAGACTGGATATAAAAGTAAAAGAATATCAGATGCTAGATTACTATATTCTCACCACAGCTCTGCCATATGCAAATCATTTACTAGAACATTGTTCACTGTGAAAGGAGCCCACTTTTGAACATCCACTCCTCAATCGAAAAACCATGATTTCTGTGTTACATAGTTATAGGTTAGTTCTCTCTGCTTGCTAAATGTTGTATATCTGATAATAATATTTTGAAATCACATAATACATTTCCGAATAAAAATAATGCAAATTCAAAACAAATTATTTCAGTAAGAATCAAGAGAAACCCTTAGGAAAACTGATGAATAGATGGAATATTTTTGCAGAAATGAGACATACCAAGAGAATCGAATAGTATACCAAACAATTTTGTCACAAAAATATCAATTATCATGGGACTATAGTACAATTATAATTTATTAATACAATTAATGAAGCTCTTGTTCAAATAATTAATGCATAATTGTACTGCATAATTGTCATTATTTTTATTTTATTAAAATAATAAAAATTTAATTTTATCTACTTTTTCAAATAATGTCCCATTTAAGTTTGTTCTATGATAAAACTTTGATTGCCTTTTTGAATTAATCAACCTTTTCCAACTCCCAGTTGTTTTAAAATAACAAAGATTATTTTACTATTTTCTCAAACTTTTCTTATTTCAGTTGGAAAACATATGTACAAGATTGTATTTCTTCAATTTATTGTCATGTTAGTGACCATCTCCTTGTACAGGTTAAAAAACTATGAATAATAGCTAGAAGAGCAAAGAACTTTGAAAAATAACCTTCCTTTTTTTAACTTATTATTTTCTACACACATGACTAAATATGAAATACTTCATAGTTCTTACTTAAAATAGGTATTGCAAATTTGTCTAGTTTACCATAGTGTCAAAAGAGAATGTAGATTTCACAGATTAAAAAAATACATATATGGCTTTTGTAAAGTGCATGACATTAGTATTTTCTTATACTTTGCTATGAAGATACCTTTTTACTGACCTAATATTGTGGAATTTAAATAATCATAAGTCATAAGTAAATGTTGCACTGTTTTTCTTTTCTATGGACTCATAATGTTTAAAGCAGTTTGAACATAATTAACAATAATGTGTTATATATGTCAAAATAGAAGAATTTGAGCGACTGCACCAGTGTTTTGTATAATGACTCTAGGGTAATATTTGCTGGTCTTATGATATATAGATTGAAACTAGTATCAGTTCATCATTTTGCTGAAATATCAGCACTGGGTCAACCGTCTGGGCAGTTTGGAAACACTCAAAGGACTGAATTTTGCTTCAGTATTGATAATGGCACAGTCTACCTGTGCTACATGGAATTACATCATTTGCCCCTCCAGTGCCCTGCATACTGACAAGTATAAGATGTTAATTTTAGTTAGTATACATTAAGTGTATGAATATGTCAAGTACATGTATATAATATATACTAAATACATTTGGAGTGCTTATAATCTAATGTGTCATGACCCTCTTGTCATTGTTAATAATTGATATACAACAATTTTATTATTTGTATAATTTTTAATTTGAAAACAAAAAAGCTTTTCAAAAATTGAGGAAAATAGTGTTCTTCAAAATTTTCTGTGCTACCTTTCACCCTATGCAGCTCATAGAGAATTTGAGTGTATCCTAAAGTATCAGAAAATAATTATTTTGATTTTTAAAATTATTCCCCAGGAAGACTTTCCCACCTATTTGAAGATGAAAAAATACTATCTACTGCCTTAAATATAAAAGGGAATGTTTTATCTTCTTGTAAGGGATTTATATGTGTATTTCTACAAATTTATATGATTTTTATTGTTTTCTACTGATGAAATCCTTTTTAAAAATGTCTTCTTTCTACATTATGTAGTGGTTTTAAAGAATATAATTGAAGACTTTTAAGTTTGCAAGACTACCTCTACTATTCCTGTACTTCCATTTTACTTCAATAATCCTGTATTTTTCCACGGGAATAAATTTTGTTGTTACTTAGTGCTTGTTGTTATATATAAAAATTAAAACGTACAAAAGAAAGGGAGACTTTGTTTTGCTGAAATAACTAATAAGTTATTCTTTATATTATTCTTTATGATTACTAAAGCTTGAAGAGAAGCTAAAATTCAAGAATTTTACGTAGCAGCATAGCAGTTGCTTGTGGCATGCCAAGCTAAAATTAATTCTGCTATTTAATCTTAATAACAGTATAGTTAAAAGCCTTTGACTTTAACAGCTTATTTTATGTATGAATTTTTGAGGTAACATTCCTATTACTTTAATCTAATGTTGGTTAGAGGAAGAAAATATTGTTAATATAATAGAGCTCTGGAATTTGTAATTATTGCTATTTTTCATTTTTAATAACAAAGTAATGTGTCTTATTTTCTAAGAAAATGAAGAATATTGATGTATTTTAATACATACATGAATCTTTGTACAAGTACTTTTAAAGTGCACCCTTATTTGCTTTGCATGTATTACATGAAACACTGTAATTATTCAGTGTTTTAATATACTAGTTTGTCTCTGTAAAAGACTGCACTAAAAATACAGTATGGGTTTACCATCTGAAAGGATACTTAACAGACATGAAGCTTCATATCTGACAAGTATTCACTATATAACCCACGCTGAGAATGATGATGCAATATTTCCCTGTTACTGAAAGTAATTGTTACATTCGCTAATATAGTCTCCTGCCATCTGCTTCTCCATGCTTTTTTGGCTTTGATTTATGGAAAATATTTATCAAAATGTTGTAAAATTGCTAACAGGCATAATAGTAGCAGTGAGATCACTAAGAAACTCTGAAACATCTTTTAATATACTTGATGTTCCCCAGACATTCTAGAATAAATAGAATACTGCATTCTAGTATGTAAAACCATTTAAAGCTGCTAATTGGTATTGACTAGGTTTATCCCTTGATAATGGAATTAATAAGAATTTCAGCTGTGCTAAGACTTTCTAATATTTAATACCATGATTATGGATATGTTTTTACATGCCTGCTTTAAACATAAAACAAAACTGCTCTGAGGTAATTATAAACAGTATTCTATATTTAAATGCAAGTTCATTGTTTTTTACAAAACATGCCATATGAATAGATATTGCAAAATATCACCAATGCCAACAATACTCATCATTATAATTTCTATGTGGAAGAAATAATCTAATATAAATAAAATGAATCAAGGTTTTTAAATATCTGATTGAAAAGATGAATGATTGAATGGATTTTGCCTCCTGATTGTTTATTATATGTGTATGTGTTACCATGTGGTAGTTTATAAAAAGTTGTCTAATCTCTATATTTGAAAGGATTCTGCACCTAAAAGTATGTCAGTTTTATATTATTCTTTATTAGATCATTCATGAAAGAAACATTTGAAGCTATCAGCATATCTCTTCAATGGAAACACATACACACCTAACTCATTCTGCTGAATTAAAAAAAATGAAGAAAGCTGTAGCATGCCTTAACATTTCCCACAAAAATATGTAATACTTGCGATATCTAGAGTGAAAAAATATTAAAATGTAATACACACAATGATTTTAGTGACTTACGAAAGAAAGGTTAAAACCCAGAAAGTTGTGGTTACTATTACTGCCACTTGCACAATTCTGACTCTGTGGTGGGTCGGTGGTAAAAGAGTGTACAGTGAGGCTGACTGGTTACATAGTGGGCATCTATCATGTTAAATAGCTATCAGTTTCATTAACTGGTATCCATAGACAAGATTATAGCATTTTAGATTATGAAGATTTTGAAAAAGTAGACCACATTGTGGTTAAGTATATGAGTCACATAATAAGAAAAAGGTGCCCACAGGCTATTGTTCCTAGCATGGATTAAATTTACATACTGCTTCTCCTTATGTCAAAACATCTGGCTCCTGCAAATGCTAAAATTTTGTTAAAAAGTTTTACAGGCCAGGAAAAGTGGATGGGAAGTGCTGCATATGAATCATTCAAGCATTGTCATATAACAAGAGCTATGTTCAGAAAAAATTAAATTGTGCAAATATTTTCATCAAGATTAAAATTTATTTGCTTATATAAGTGAAAGGTAATGTTATGTGCATGTGTAGAGAAAACATTATTTGGATTTTTATGGTTATCTCTTCAAAAATATTTATTTCTTGTAATTATAGGGAGCAAGAAGTTTTCTAAGTCTTTCAAGATTTTCAGTCACTTTAACACTGTTAGAAGCAATATGTAGTCATGTAAAACCCATTACAGTATTTCTAACAACAGAAAGGAGATACCTGAGACATACATTCTGGCACTAAATTTCTACTTATTCAACAGTAAATATAAAAAGTATATTTGAGATGTAGATAGATTATCTTTCTATATGGCTCCCCAACTCAATAAAGTCAGTCTACCTGGTTCTTCTGTTCTTTAGTCTAACAAGATCACATGTGATCTTCCTGTTTTTATAGATTTTTCTTACCACTCTATTCAATGGTTATTATCATTACAGACTTTTCTGGATGTATCTGGTAGCTGGTGCTGAAATTCTATGATTGCATTGGTGGGTAATACATAGATTTTATCTTCACTAGATGCAGAAGCACTGGATACAGTATATCTTTAGCCTAAGCTTGCTCTGTATCCTATATTACTTAGTATAGTGGGGGAAAAATAGAACCTGATAGAGGAGGAGTTAAGATAAAAATATCCATTCCGGTTTTATTAATTATTCAGCAGAGGAAAGGAGGAAGATTGAGATTTTGAGTAACTCTTTGATTTTGAAATCATATTATTCCACTCTGTTCTACTTGTCTTCAGTAACTATTTTGAATAAACTCCTCACTTAATGTCTGTTTTCAGCTGCATTGTTCTGGCTGTCTTTGTGTCCAGAGTTGAATTGAAATGTTTGTCTTTGACAGACATTTTGATCTTGGGGAGGGGCAGAAGTTGCATGTTACCAAATGTAGAGAATAAGGTGGATGAGGACAAACTGTAATGTCACAAAGCCGCCTTTCCATTGGATAGCTCTGGGCAATACCATCTGTGTTTTTGTAAATCATACCTCATAGACAAAAGAGGACTTCCAGAACATCTGGGGAAAGCAGTAAAAATGATATGTGTTGGAAGCAATGGGGAATATTCTGATTGGATTAATAACAAGGCATCTTTTGGTATATTAGTTTTTATTTAAATTTACACTGTAGTTTTTGATAGTAATTCACGTTTCCGGACGGATCACAACTGTTTAGCAGGTAAGGAAATGGAAGAGGTCTCCTGTGATGAATTTTTTTTTTCTTTGTCTTTTTCATTTTTATCGATACCGGGGATCGAACTCATGACTGCCTGCTTGCAAGGCAGGTGCTTATGCCGCTGAGCTAAATCCCCAGCCCCTCCTGTGATGAATTCTTAGGAGACATACATATTGCTTCTGAGGTAATATGTAGCATCTAAGAGTCTCACAGTCCATTCTCTTTAGTCAGATAAATGTGATCAAGTTTCTATTCTGCATGACTTTAAAGGTTCATTATGTCTTTCTGTGCATGAATCTCTTCATATGTAAAATGTGAGCAAACCTTATAACCATGTGTTAAGTTTTTGGTAGGGTTTAAGCAAAGTAGGTGCATAAAGAACTCAGCATAATCTATTATACAGTGCTTAGTACCTAATAGTACCTAATGAATATTAGCTTTAAGTGACGATGACTTACTTTACACGATTGCTGCTGGTAACAAAGCTGTATTTATTTAATTTTTAGGGGTCATTGTCTGGTGAAATTTTATTACCGTAATTTCTGTTACACACCTCAACATTTCCTTCTATTTGTTTGTATTTGTCCCTTCATCTATTAAGCAATTTCCTTATTACAGAAATAATTTAAAAGAACCGTACCATTTTCAAGGTATTTTCCCATATAACAGCTCATTTATATATCAGAATTATCCAAAATTTCAGCAGAAAAGTGATAAAAACCTTAGGTTGCATAATAGTATTACAGATGCTAGGTCTAAACTATTTGCACTTCTCACCTCCAAATGTGATGTCTGTACTTTGTGGTAGGTACTTTTATATATACAGGAGAACAGTTATAAATACGATCAAGACAAGGTTTTCATTTAGGTAACATTTAAATAAGAGAGCTAGGCAATGAACACATAATAATTAGTATATAGCAGAAATTAGTAAGAAAGGAGGATGAAATGAAACACTGTGGTGACAGTCAAGATAACCATTTTTAAGATGATTAGGGAATGCTTCACGTACATGGGAGCCAAGATCACAAAACTGTCAAATGCAAGGCATGCAAGGACCATGCTAAGGGAAAGAGACTAAATGCTCAAAAGGATTCGATATGGATGTGGCTTCGCTTGTCTAAGGAATAGCAAGAAAGCCAGTGTGCGGTGGTCTAGTGAAAGTGGAAGAATACAGTAGGAGATGTGGGGAAAGAGAAAGGTAGTCTTCAAGTTATGCAGTTGTCACCTGGATGTCT